GGGAGTTACGAATTATTTTAACTGCATACAAAATCGGGAAGCGGAGCGAAGCAGGGAAGCAGAACGTAGAAGTGTGTCGGGGAAACGGAGCGCAAATCGAAGCTTGGATGGCCGTCGCCATTCAATAAGCCGAGAAAAAAAAACTTCGAAAATAATTATTACTTACAGTTAGCGCAGGTTGCAGCTTTAACGGCCGGGGACAACTTATACCCGCTGCAGCAGTGTAGGCAAGCGGGAGACAAATCGCGCCAATCAACCCTTTCTATGCCGCGACCTCGGCGCTATTTGTCACTGCGGAAGAAATTGACGGTTAGGATACCAATGAATCGTAACAACAGCTTACATTTGGATGTAACTGCAAATTATGCTGTCTACAGGAGCGTAGCAAGATATTATAGCGTAGCGGTGACTGAAAATCAACTAATAGAATTGCATTTTCTATGCTCTTCTACTTAGTTGACAGGGAGTAAAATTCATACAAAACCGGGAAGCGGAACGAAGCAACGGAGCGGGAAATCAGAGTGTGGAAAAAGAGCGGAGAAGCAGAATGGAAAGCGGAGCGAGGGTGGGTAGCATGGTAGCAGAGCAGGGAAGTTGATGATAAAAAACCATAATGATCGCCGCCGCCATTCGATAAGTCAAAAAAAACAAAAACTTCCAAAACAATTACTTACAGTTAGCGCAAGTCGCAGCATCAGCGGCCGGGGACAGCTCACTGACTAGAGATGGACCGGCTCCCAGCGGCAGTAGTGTAGGCCCAAGCGGGAGTTATATCGCGCCATTCAACCCTTCCTTCCTCGGCGCTATTGGTCGCTGCGCTGAGTGGAAGAAATTAATGGTTAGAATGAAAATGAAATATTTTATTCAGCGACACAAAACAGCATCAAAAATATGAAACAAAAGTAAAAACTAGATAGAGTAGGTAATGTGCGTGTCACCGAAAAACTCAGTAAAAAAAAACTCAGTAAAACTCATTTATTTTTGTAAGTAGGCTTTAAAAAAGCACTTTTACCTACACGTCCCAGTATTAACCCTACCACTGCTTCAGGACAATAAATGGGCCAGTGCTGAGAAGAAGCAGCGCAAGAAACTCAGACACTATTGTCAGCCTCTTTTTCAAAGGTTTACAGGTTTTCAAAATACATAGTTATAAATATTTATGCGAGCTAAGGAGTTACACATCCCAAACATTATTATCTTTTAAATAAACGGTATCCACTCAGCATCATGCCGAGGTGTCGTAAGGGACACCTCGATGCTGGTCTTCAGTGGATACTCGAAGGACAAGAGGCACTGCTATAACATAGCAATACTACTTCGGTTGCAAACGGTTGGTTAGAATAAGTATGAACCATAACAACAATTTGTTTTCTTGTGACACTAAAACAGTTCATATCTAGGTGTCCACAGGCTGCCTGTCTAAAAGGAGCTAGATGGTGGAACGGTGAGCAAGGTATAATAGAATTGCATAAAATCACCACTCTTCTTCAGCAAACAAGGTGTTAGTTACAAAGTAGTTAAATTCTTACAAAAAAAAAATAAGGAAACGGAGCGAGGTCCCCCGGGGAAGCAGATTAAAGCAGTGTGGTGAGGAAGCAGAGCAGGGTATTAGTATTAGAGAGGAGAAGAAAATGGCGGAAACATAGCGGGGAAGCTGATGATCAAATCAAATATCACACAAAATAAAAATACTAACAATTAGTTCGGTCGCAGCTTCAATGGCCGAGGGCAGCTCTCAGATTAGAGATGGAGCAACTATCCGCGGCAGCAGTGTTAGCACAAGCGGGAGTTATATCGCGCCACTCAACCGCTTCTTTTCTGCGACCTCGGCGCTATTTGTCACTGCGGAAGAAATTGACGGTTAGGATACCAATGAACTGTAACAACAGCTTACGTCTGGGTGTAATAAACATTAAGGTTGCCTGCAAATGTAGCAAGGTAGCGGAGCGGTGAGCTAGCGAGGTAAAAATATTTTATAGGATTTCACAAAATCCGTGCCCCTCTTCAGTGGACAGGGAATTAAATTCATACAAAGCCGGGAAGTGGAACGAAGCAGGGAAGTAGAGTGAAAAGCGGAGCGAGGATACGTAGCGTGGTAACGGAGCAGGAAAGTTGATTATAAAAAAAAAGTTGATGATCGCCATGGCCATTCGAAATAAGCCACAAAAAAAAACAAAAACTTCCAAAACAATTAATTACTTACAGTTAGCGCAGGTCGCAGCTCGCAAATTGGAGATGGACTGCAGCGGTAGCAGTGTCGGCACACGGGGAAGTTACGTATATCGCGCCATTCAACCCTTTCTTGCCCGGGACCTCGGCGCTATTTGTCACTGGAAAAAAAATCGTTGGTTTTATTTCAAGTATTTATAAGGACAACCAAAATATAGAGAAACACTATAATAAATAGTAAAGAATAAACAGTAAAAACAATTATTGTATCTAGATAAGCACATAAGGCTGCTTAAAGCTGTAAGTGAGGATAAAATTTACATAAAATATCGCTCCTTTTCATTGAACAATGGTGTTGAAAACTAATTAAATTCGTACAAAAAACCGGGAAACGATGCGAAGCAATGGAATAGGGAAGCAGAGCATGGTTGCGGAGCGGAAAAGCAGAGCGGGGAAGCGTGTCGAGGAAGCGAAGCGCAAATCGGAACGAGGATGGAAAGCGGAACGGGGAAGCTTATGATCAAAAACCATAATGATCGCCATCGCCATTCAACAAGCTGAGAAAAAACTATACAGTGTGAGTCACGTTAAAGTGTACATATGAAAATAGATGAAACTAGACCTATTTTTATCGACAAAAAAGAGGTCAAAAAATTTTTGAGATTTTTTTTGCTTTTATGCAATTTTTGGTTTTACGAAGGTAATACGATAGAGAATAATACAAAGTAATAAAAACCACCGGTTATAGGGGCATTTTTTGGAAAAATTTATCAAATAACCAAAAAAACACGAATTTTAAAGCAGATTTTATTCAAAAAGTATTATTTTTTATTATTTGTTGGCCTTTTTTTGTGTATTTTATGTATTTTTTTAGTATCGCCTGTTATTTAACATTATTACTGTTTTTATTTTATCAGGATATACCGCTTAGTTTAAAAGTTATTACGTTTTCTTTACAATAAGTAATTGGAAGAAAAAAAATTCATTAAAAAATAAAAAAAATCTTAAAAATTTTTTGACCTCTTTTTTGTCGATAAAAATAGGTCTAGTTTCATCTGTTTTCATATGTACACTTTAACGTGACTTACACTGTATAATTTTGAACAGAGTGACTTACGCAGGTCGCAGCAGCACCGGCCGGCCGCAGCTCCCCGATAGCAGTGTACACAATCGGGAGACAAACCGCGCCACTCAACCGTTTCTTGCCCGCGACCTCGGCGCTATTTGTCACTGCGGAAGAAATTGACGGTTAGGACATAATGAATCGTAAACAAGTGTTTTCTTGATTTTAAAAACAATTTACATCTGGGTTTACCTAGCACATGGAGCGGTGAACGAGGTAAAAATACTCCAACATCATCTCCTATCCTCTTAAATGGACACAAGTGCTTTACAAAGTTAGTCACACATAAACCGGGAAGCGGAGAAGTGAAGTGAGGAATTAAAGAATTAGGGAGAAAGAAGCGAAACGGGGTAGCGTAGCAATGCAGCGAAATGGAGAAGCGGAGTGGGTAACCAGAGCAGAGAAGCACAATAAAACATACCTAATAATCGCAATTCAAAAAGCCGAAAATAAATCGAACACTTAAAAAGAATGACTTACAGTCAGCGCAGGTCGCAGCACTCTCTAATCTGTGGTCGCAGCACCGGCGCAGCTCCCCGATAGCAGTGTAGGCAAGCGGGAGACAAACCGCGCCATCCAACTCTTTCTTCTCCGCGACCTCGGCACTATTTGTTAGAGCGAGGTAAAAATTCACCAATAAAACCACCATTGTTTATTTGATCATCAGCTTCTCCGCTCCGCTTCCCCAGTAACCACCATCGTAATTAACCTTTAACTATGGACGTCGGGTCTCAGAGGCCCACCCCCCTTTCCGATTTCTCGGTTTAAACACCTTCCCCCCACGTGTTGCTCTTGACCTTCTCAGTAGCTTCAGTTTTAACTGTGTTTGGACCGAGGAGGCATAAAATAGTTTCTTCCGGTACTTGAGTAATAACCATTCAAAATTTTGTCCGGGTCTGGGAGACCCGATGACTATAATTTCTATACAAACATACTTGTATGGATGTGACTTGTCAACTATATTTTTTTATGTTATATTATTATAATCTTAAGTAAATTATTCTAGTTTAAGAATACATAATGGCAGAAAGTATCTGAATACATCAGCTATATTATTAGGCCAACTATCTGAAGAACATTTCAGGAGTAATGTATTACTTGTAGACCATTCTGCTTTTGAGTTTAGATGTCTTAGAATTTCACCATTGCTGCAGATTCCGATTCTGAATGGTGTACATTTTGCCTACTAAAGCTCTCAAAGAAAGATACCACATGCCTGTAGAAATAATTTGTCTTTAGTGTTCTAGGCCAGTGTGTATAATTTTAGTAACTTTAACCCTTGTCAATTTTTTTATTTTATGTCCTTCAGAAATTTTGTTCATGTTTTTATGTTACATGGTTATTAATTATGATGGAAAAAAATATTACTTTCATTTATTAATGATCGACTGTAATCAAGGAGCTTATATGTGATGGCAAGTCAATTTGGACTGAAAAATGTCTAAATTTTTTAAATTTGAAAACAAATAATTAAATGATGGTTAAAATTTTATTACATTTACTACTAAATCCTTTATTAATAGTTATTAGATACATTTCAACTCTTTAATAAATTCAAATTGATTCAGATATGAAAATAAGAAGAATGTTAGACAGGGGTCTGTGAGACCCGACGTCCATGGGAGTGTGATTATTTTTTCACGTCCATAGTTAAAGGTTAAAAAAGCCGAGAAAAAAAAGACTTTTTTAAAAAATGACTTACAGTCAGCGGAGGTCGCAGCAGCAACGGCCGGGCGCAGCTAAGTAGGTACTCGCAGCAGCAGTGTAGGCAAGCGGGAGATAAATCGCGCCAATCAACCCTTTCTTGTCCGCGGCCTCGGCGCTATTTGTCACTGCGGAAGAAATTGATGGTTAGGACTGAACACTAAAACCGCTTACATCTTGATGTAGCACTCATTACGAAAGGTAGGTAGTTACCACATCTACCTACCATCCTTCATTGTGCAAAAATCCTTCTACAAAATGCTTATTTTACAACAAAGGGTAACGAAGCCACAACTTGAGGGTAAGTAAAACCAAAAGTTACGCTAAGCTACTATCACATTACTTACTACCGCTAATTAATAAATTGGCACCGTAATAAATAAATAAAAGGTATTTAATTCAGGCATAGCCCATAAAAGTAATGATGAGAAATTGAAAATGCGAATTACGCCCTATTCACTATTCAGAGACTGCGGTAATCACGCGATTCTAAAATTTTATTTACAATACAAGGGTAGGTAGGTACTTACATCTTACCAACCACGCCACGTCACGCCAATGAGAACCGAACCACAAGTTTGAAATCGTATGAACAAAGTCTTAAATTATAATTCTCAACCATGATATTCCGTACCTACAAATTATTATCTAGAGTTTAAAATGAATGACTCACCTTCATTGCCGATTCGCTGCTCGATTTTGTTGCAACTGGGATAGTCCGTTTCAACAGGTTTCAACTACCCGCCGCGGATAACTTTTACAAGCGGGAAATAAATTTTGCCTTTCACCCCAACATTGTTCATGACCTCACTGCTATTTGTCACTATTTCAGGACCTGTAGAAATTTTATTGGTGGTAAGTGGTTGCTGTTTTTCTTTTGTTCATTAAAAATGAACTTGCAAACCAACAACACCGCGTCTTAGAGTAAAATTTACTCGCTTTTCAACCATTTTTACATCGAGAAGAGAATACCTACAATGGATGGATTAATGGATAGATATTTATTTTCATCTTGTGAGGTGGCCGGTAATTTTACAAAATTTTCACAATTTCCAAAGCGACTTACTGAGTACACGAGGAGAGACGAGGACCTTGGCCATTTGCAGCTAACAACCAGCGAATATCAATCAATTACAACGAAGAAACTTTTATTACGATTAATATTTCGAAGAGACTACGTTCGCGTTGTGTGAAAAAACAAAATAAAAAAATACGCGGGTAAGATGCTCCCTGATTCGGATGAAGAAATTTTTTTGTTCGATTCTTTCCTATTCCAGGAAAATGCAAAGGCATTACGCCATACAGCCAAGTCCTCAGATTTGTTTTGTCAATGATCCTAAACTTAAATATAAAAAATAATTCGGCTAAACACTTTCAGAAAATAAAGCTAAAGTATACGCTACAATTTTCCACCAACAAGTCCCGATTGAGGAAAATACTATTGCACCGCCATCTTACGAAACAAAGCAAGACTTCTCGTTCAGTTTCGTGGGTAACTAAAAATCGTATTGTGAATCTTAATCTTATCCATAAAATTACTAAAAATATTTATTAACCTTACTGTAAAATAATTATGTTTTATTAACTAAATCAATCTATAATTAAATTGTTTTTAATATTCAGTTCAGTCGTGAACAGAACGCACTTGTCAGGCAACGACTAGTGGTAAGCACACACTACGCAGATTTATCGATATAAAATTAGACTTGTTACCGATTCGTTGTTGTTAGAAAAACGGGTTTACTTAATACTTTAGTTATTTAAGCTTTTGTTTCGCTGAATTGTGTTTCTTGTATTATAATTTATTTTCAATCGTCAACCTCAACACTTAAGTGATGCTACAATGTGTAAATGTGTGGTGGTGGATTGACATAAAATTTTCACTGGATGAATAATTTTCTCCTAATCAAAGCAAAATCCCAAATAATAATTATTTGCCGTTCAACACTTTTTCAACCTCGTCTTACTCGCATCGTAAAGTCGTAACACCGACGAAAGAATAATCTAATATCGATAACAGAGTAATTACGTCACTATAACAATTGACATTGACTTGACAGTTAGATAAAAACAAACCACCAACCAACAGCATCAGCTTTCCTATGTATTACTTTTCTCTATGGCATCAGCTGGCTGAAGAACTGCAAAATTGTTAAAAAGTGTCGTTTTCTAAATGAAATAAGATGGAAACCGAAGATAAACAATACAGATGTGTTAATTGCGGAGCACCGGCCGCAGCGTTGTTCAAAAGTTACGGCCCTTCTGTGCTGAAATTAACTAAATGTGTGCGTAACTTTTCCGGCGATATAATAATGATTTTTTTACAAATTCAAGATAGATTTAAACATTTATAATATACTTTTATATATTAGATTTTGTACATCAACTCAGCCATATTTGTATCTTAACTTTTGTTCTTTAGGAGATATGCAAGGGAATTGTGGATAAATACATAGAATATGACCCGGTCATAGTAATGATTGACATCGTGCTAATGTCTCGAGAAGCTCAACGGCATGTCTTGTACAATACTGAGTTTAAGGTAAGCTTCCATAATCTACTAATATCTTATTAACTAATTCTAGTATCTACACAATCTACCTATTCAAATCTACAACTAATCATACAATATTACTGAACAATGTAGATAAATTATTGGTTTTATTAGGTATAATTCATACCAAATTCACAAGCAATGTTATGAACAGTTATTAATAAAATTATCATGTCAAATTACAGTCTTATTGGAAACTTTTAATCATCTTGACGCTTCTTGAAACTTATGGAGAATGGAGGAATGACAGTTTGTTCAGCATTGTCATCAGCTCTATCTGTGGGCTACACAAAAACTCTACCTACTTGTAAGTATTGATTGTCACACTACAATTTAATATCAACCAAGTATTATGTACTAGATAATTGGACCCATTTATGCAAACAAGAACCAACCCACAGCAGGGTGGTTTCGAGAAAATGAGACTTTTGTAAAAAGAGTGCGCAAAATGCATACATAATATATAAATGAATGATTACTTGTTAATCTTATGTGGGATACTGCAGCCTATCTAGGAATATCAGATTTATAAATTTTGTGAAGTTAAAGTTAAAGTAAATCGTTAAAAACCAGNAGTGCGCGACGAAAGAATAATCTAATATCGATAACAGAGTAAATACGTCACTATAACAATTGACATTGACAGTTAGATAAAAACAAACCATCCAACAGCATCAGCTGGCTGAAGAACTGCAAAATTGTTGAAAAGTATCGTTTTCTAAATGAAATAAGATGGAAACCGTAGATAAACAATACAGATGTGTTAATTGCGGAGCACCGGCCGCAGCGTTGTTCAAAAGTTACGGCCCTTCTGTGCTGAAATTAACCAAATGTGTACGTAACTTTTCCGGCGATTTATGATTTTTTTTACAAATTTAAGATAGATTTAAACATTTCTAATATATTTTGTACATAAACTCATCCACATTTGTATCTTAACTTTTGTTCTTTAGGAGATATGCAAGGGAATTGTGGATAAATACATAGAATATGACCCGGTCATAGTAATGATTGACATTGTGCTAATGTCCCGAGAAGCTCAACGGCATGTCTTGTACAATACTGAGTTTAAGGTAAGCTTCCATAATCTACTAATATCTTATTAGCTAATTCTAGTGGGTATCTACATAATCTACCTATTCAAATCTACAATAAATCATACAATATTACTGAACAGTGAATCTTCTTGTGAATTTGGTATTAATTATACCTGCATTGCCCTGCAAAACTAACTAACCTATTTCATACCAAATTCACAAGCAATGTTATGAACAGTTATTAATAAAATTATCCTGTCAAATTACAGTCTTATTGGAAGCTTTTAATCATCTTGACGCTTCTTGAAACTTTTGGAGAATGGAGGAACGACAGTTTGTTCAGCATTGTCATCAACTCTATCTGTGGTCTACACAAAAACTCTACCTACTTGTAAGTATTGATTGTCACACTACAATTTAATATCAACCAAGTATTAAGTACTAGATAATTAAGTTTTAAGTTACCATTGTTCCCTTTAATGTTTTTATGCCTGATTATCTACGATTTAACTAATCTAATTACTGTAACTTACATTCCAGAAACATTCCGGAGGAAATGGTTCCGCTGAGTTTCAAGAACAAATGCTGGGCGTGGGACCTGGAGGAGAAAACAGATGATATTGACTTATTTATTTGGGAAAAGGATTTCTATGTACGATTCATAGCCACTTTTTCTGGTTAGTTAGTTATCAATTAATTTATAACTCTTCCGAACTGGTGGGCTTACATTATTCTCTTAATAATTTACCCTACATTAATTTGCTTTTTCTATTTTGTTACAGGAATCGTAATGTTCATACTATTTGTTAACAGTTTGATGAAAATACAAGATACATGTTTTTCACTGAATACAGGTAAGTGAAGTTAATCTCATAGATACATACATTATACATAGATTGAATAAAAAAATAGATTATAAATTGGGTAAAACTCCTTACCTTACTTTTCAAGAGTTACACACACATTGATCAACTTATTTGTTCCAGTTACATTTACAAGAATCTTGAAAGGGTTTTCATTGGCCAATGTGAGCATTCTGTTTACACTTCCAATGCTTGTATGGGGAAATGCTGCTTCACTGGAGACCAAGTTAATACACTATGCTCTTGTGCTTGGATACAGCATCGTAATGTTCACAAATGTTTTCACAGGTGGGTTGGGTTTCATAAATTTCCTATTGAAAAACAAAAATGAGTTTAATGGGTATCCAGTTTTGTTATCTACAAAGATGTGGGTAGGTAGTATTTCAAACAGACACATACGGAATANACTGAATGAATGAATGGATGTTATTTTTATTATTTTACCCTCGAAATACAAAAACAAAAATACAGATTATCTATCTAGGCTCTTACCTAGGTAGATAATCTGTATTTTTGTTTTTTATTTATTTATTAGAATGTTACCTACTTAAAAATACATGCTGGGAAGAAGTTAATGTAGTATCTTCAGGAAAGTTTTATTTATATCACAAAAGTAACAAAACAACTGCCTTTAACTAAGTCATGATCAAAACCACAAAAAAATAACACAATTTCTTTTAATTTCAGTATTATACGAGTCTCCAGTGCTGACGACGTTCTTGATTCTCGCCGTAAGCAACGTGGCCAAGTATGTAACTAGTTTCAACGTAACGCCGTATCTGCGCGAGTTGATTTCTTGAACAATGAAACAATGAATATGTATCACAGAGTATTTATTAGAAAATATATTTACCTTATCCGTTTACAGCATTTTATTATACGACAAACCACAGTAATACGTCAAGAGCATTATTAGCTGTACATTTTTATCAGAATATACATACATTGATAGGCCCCTTTTTGTGACTTATGCTTACTTTTTACGATCTTATCAATATCTCTATTCTTCCACTTGCTTATAACATCATTCCCTATAGCCAATATTTATTAGGTACTCTTAATAGTGTCTTCAACAATTTATTATTAAACATAAATATATGAAAGAAGAGAAGTTATTATGCAGTGATATTTCCAGCGTGGAAAATTTAGGGAACCATTTTTGTTTACCAGTGATATTTAATAAATATGTTATCATCATAAAAGTAACACAAACATTTATTTATAATACAAGTCCTCTGTTCCCCTTATCCACAATCCAACGCCTTCATTATCTACATATTTGTACAGATGAATTATGTAGGCACATATTTTCTTGGATTAATAAATGGTAGCCTACATTATAAGTAATAAACTTCATTAAATTTTAAATAGGTATGTGCTACAATACTAACAATGTGAATGTTTAACAATTTTACAGATTAAATAATTATGTTATGTGTACCAAAAGTATCCACAAAACATAAATCTTTGACACACAAAAAAACAAGACAGTTCAATGAAATAAACTCTGTCAATTAATAATAAATTCTTCCAGGTTTTTTATTACATAGTACAAACAAAACAGTGATAAAGTAGGTTGTACCTATGTATTTGATATTTTAAGAAAAAGATAAATTGGCTCAGGTAGGATAGGTAGGTATACATATAAGTGATTTGCAGCTAAAAATGCGTAGCTTTCTTGTCTGCAAGTAGCTTAACTTAACCCTACAATACTTATTTTCACAAGTAACTAAACAAAGTAATATCTAATGATCTAATAACTAAGGAATTTACTAGTGTTTTCGGTATTACAAGCAGCTTTTTGGTACTTAATTACATAGGCAAGATAAGGTGTATTAGAAGAATCTTAAAATTTGCTAAGACATGTAGCCTTTGGCTTTTTGGCAATTCATAGCAAATGTTTTAAAATTGAATTTTCTCTAAATAAGTTAGTATGATATAAAACTAGCAAAGCAAATCATGAACCCTAAAAGGTAATTTTGATTTTATACTAATTCAATTGGACAATGTTGCTTTCCCAACCAAGAGAACAATATAAAATGTGTGATAATAAGCACTGCCAATTTACAGAAATAATGTGCAAAAATATAAAAAAAACCAACATCAGTCTTTGGCTAACTTGAGCATTGAAGCAAATTATGACTTGCAATTTCAGAATAAGCATAAAATCAGATAATCATTTTGAAACTATTTTATAGCATTAAAATGATTACAAAATTTCTGATGTTGACTATACTTGAGAAACCACATACATAACTACATTTAAAAGTTACATAATATAGCTCATTTCATAAATAAATATAACAACTGAACAAAACCCTGTGATGATAATTTTTATAGACAAGTAACAAAGAAGTCTATAACTTGTTTGATTGAGGAAATCTGATACCCAAAATGATTTTCCTTATAGGCACATACCTACATACCAGATTTTACTATTGTGAAGATTTCTTAATTTGTATTGGTCTAAGCTGAAAGGAAACTACTGTGGGTTTAAACTATTTTTGAAATACATACAAAATTATAGAGATTATGCTAACTACCATATTATTTTTATTATAATACATTAAACTGATGGAAATATTACCTGGTCATACATTGATATTGCGACAATTTTTGTGTTCGGTACTACAATACAGATCATAATCTTATCTGTTCCATGGTACAATAAAATTGAATCTTAACACTACAGTAATAAAATAGTTTTTACACAAATATGAAAATTTCATAACATTTACTTCTAATTATTTTGTGCAGTAGGTACACAGTTTTGTTTGATCAATTAATAATGTCATAGACTAAAATATGGTTGGAGTTAACAAAGACTACTGATGATGATGCTGACAGAAGCCGGAGATGTGTAATAATTTATTTTCTATGTAGTTCGAGAAATACTGAGGACATTTCTATAGAAGCAAATAGATGATGTATCTTCATTCAAGGGCTAAGGGGTGGGTCGTCTTGGCCAATCATGACATCCTCGTACATAACGTCGTTGTTTCTACGCAAGTTGATTCTTTGTCTAATATGATTGAGTAAGTCATACTTCCTGAACACCAAGACTATGCCACATACCAGGAGAGCGAGCGTGAACAGCGATACGATGACAATAGTGGCCGTGTGGCTAGATGTGTCCGTGCCCTCGGGCGCGCAGTTGTCGTCAACAAACACGAAGCCCGCCTTGCAAACGCATTGTCCAGTCTGCTGCACGCAGACCTCATTTTCACCAGGACACGGCTCCGGAGAACTCACGTTGCAAGGCAGGATGTGCTCTGTTGAAAAGAATAAAGTTCTCGAAGTAACATCCCGGATAGATTGATTCAATTAAATAATTGTCGGCTACTTACCGGAGTGAGCGCAGTAGGCGAGATTTAACAATATTGCGGCGAAGTCCACTGTTCTGAGACCCATGTTGGTAAGATGTGGCTTCTTCAAGTATTTACATCACAAATCTTAACGGGACTCTAGAAAGAAACACTTTTTCAGCGAACAATAATTTCTTTCTTGTTACGACTGGAGCAAGCAAAACAACTGACATGTCATGCACGACGACAAAACTAAACGTCAAACGTTTGTCAAAACTGTCAAACTTATCGCGTTTTGTAACTGCAGTTGAAGATTGTTATGCAGCTGCAATAAAATAAAAGATGGAATTGAAATTATTGAATAACTGGTTTTCAGATATGCAGAACAATAACTAAATACCTACTTGTGATTTCAAATGAATTTAACCTGATAATAAAACTTAGCCTGTTGCCGCCTCAGACAAACTGATTCTTATATGTGACAGTAGATGGCGCTAAGTAAATATTTAGGTCTATAGAGAAATTCGTGACTTTGAATTTGAACTTAAATGACAAGGAATCAAAGGGTGGTTAAGGTAAAGGATAATTTATTAAAGATGAATCTGTATTGTTATGGTCAATAAAATAGAATAGGTAGGTATGTTACCAATACTGCCAATACCGGCAACAGCGTAGCGCGCAGTAGATTCGAATCGATTTCATAAAAAATATAGTATGTACACCTAAAATGTATAATAATATTCAGTTTATAAATACATTACTAGCTTTCCGCCCGCGGCTTCGCCCGCGTGGAATTTTGTCTGTCACAGAACAGCTTTATTGAGCGCGTCTCTGTTCCAAAAACCAGCATAAAAACTATCATGCTTGTCCTTTCCCGGGACTCAAACTATCTCCATGCCAAATTTCATCAAAATCGGTTCAGTGGTTTAGGCGTGAAAGCAAGACAGACAGACAGACAGACAGAGTTACTTTCGCATTTATAATAAAAGTAGGTATAGATAGTAGTAGGTACTAGCTTAGGGTGGATTCGACCAAAAAAGAGTAATTAATATTAATCTCAGAATAAATCATTCAGACATTCATTCAGTTATTCGAGATTTTGACTTATTTCCCATACTAAGGCCCTTTTCACACGTACACGTCCCGGTTGCCGGCTAACCGGCGCCGGGTACCAGGTGGTGAAGTGTATGGGCATGCCGGATTAATTACGCCGGAACATGTGAAAGCTACGTACCATTCCCATACACTTCACCACCGGATACCGGCGCCGGTTAGCCGGCAACCGGGACGTGTGAAAAGGGCCTAAAACTGTCAATGTGCCAGTTATAATTTAGGAGTTATTTTCGGATAAAAGTTAGGTCGAATCGGGCCAGAGAATTAATAATTCCTCTAGTGTTTTTTCCTAATAACTTTAAAACTATAAATTTGAACGAATTTTGCTATTAGTGGACAAATTTCTGCTCACGATGGACTAATTATCTGCTATACTCTCGACTCTCTAAAGCACGACATTTATAAAAGTTTTGCTGCGGTAATGCACTCACAACAGGTTAAATCTGGAGCCATGTTCGTTTATTTTCCAACAACATTAGATAAAGCCTACTTACCTAAACACCTACAAGATCTTTATTTTTAAAATAACTTGAAAAAATCCATTTCACTTTAGATTTTAGTTCGATTTTTTACAAAATAGTTGAAATGTTGGCACGCCAATATATTTATGAACTCGACTGTACCTAGGCTTATCTTATGCCTAGTAATAATACCTAGCCGACGCCGGCCGGCCGGCCGGCGTTTACCCGTGGTCCCCCCAACATGTCCCCCTGGTGGGTCCACGGGTAATTTTTTTTACCCGTTGTCCCACCGTTCTGAACAGTGTTTACCAGTGGGTCTACGGGTAATTTATTTTAACCATGGTTCCACCGCACTAAGTGGCAAACATTGCATGTCACCTTATGTCTGGGATGAAATATCAAACGCCGAGAAGGATATGAGTGACTTTAACCCACATGTGTGATGTGAAGATAGTATAAAGATATTATAGTGCCGTACTTACCTATAATTATTTTCTATATTAATTATAGATTTTTTTATAATATTATAGATACTCGTACCTAGGCTAGGTGACAAGCAATGTTTGCCACTTAGTGCGGTGGGACCATAGTTAAAATAAATTACCCGTAGACCCACTGGCAAACACTGTTCAGAACGGTGGGACAACGGGTAAAAAAAATTACCCGTGGACCCACCAGGGGGACATGTTGGGGGGACCACGGGTAAACGCCGGCCGGCCGGCCGGCGTCGGCTAGGTATTATTACTAGGCATAAGATAAGCCTAGGTACAGTCGAGTTCATAAATATATTGGCGTGCCAACATTTCAACTATTTTGTAAAAAATCGAACTAAAATCTAAAGTGAAATGGATTTTTTCAAGTTATTTTAAAAATAAAGATCTTGTAGGTGTTTAGGTAAGTAGGCTTTATCTAATGTTGTTGGAAAATAAACGAACATGGCTCCAGATTTAACCTGTTGTGAGTGCATTACCGCAGCAAAACTTTTATAAATGTCGTGCTTTAGAGAGTCGAGAGTATAGCAGATAATTAGTCCATCGTGAGCAGAAATTTGTCCACTAATAGCAAAATTCGTTCAAATTTATAGTTTTAAAGTTATTAGGAAAAAACACTAGAGGAATTATTAATTCTCTGGCCCGATTCGACCTAACTTTTATCCGAAAATAACTCCTAAATTATAACTGGCACATTGACAGTTTTAGGCCCTTTTCACACGTCCCGGTTGCCGGCTAACCGGCGCCGGGTATCCGGTGGTGAAGTGTATGGGAATGGTACGTAGCTTTCACATGTTCCGGCGTAATTAATCCGGCATGCCCATACACTTCACCACCTGGTACCCGGCGCCGGTTAGCCGGCAACCGGGACGTGTACGTGTGAAAAGGGCCTTAGTATGGGAAATAAGTCAAAATCTCGAATAACTGAATGAATGTCTGAATGATTTATTCTGAGATTAATATTAATTACTCTTTTTTGGTCGAATCCACCCTAAGCTAGTACCTACTACTATCTATACCTACTTTTATTATAAATGCGAAAGTAACTCTGTCTGTCTGTCTGTCTGTCTTGCTTTCACGCCTAAACCACTGAACCGATTTTGATGAAATTTGGCATGGAGATAGTTTGAGTCCCGGGAAAGGACAAGCATGATAGTTTTTATGCTGGTTTTTGGAACAGAGACGCGCTCAATAAAGCTGTTCTGTGACAGACAAAATTCCACGCGGGCGAAGCCGCGGGCGGAAAGCTAGTAATGTATTTATAAACTGAATATTATTATACATTTTAGGTGTACATACTATATTTTTTATGAAATCGATTCGAATCCACTGCGCGCTACGCTGTTGCCGGTATTGGCAGTATTGGTAACATACCTACCTATTCTATTTTATTGACCATAACAATACAGATTCATCTTTAATAAATTATCCTTTACCTTAACCACCCTTTGATTCCTTGTCATTTAAGTTCAAATTCAAAGTCACGAATTTCTCTATAGACCTAAATATTTACTTAGCGCCATCTACTGTCACATATAAGAATCAGTTTGTCTGAGGCGGCAACAGGCTAAGTTTTATTATCAGGTTAAATTCATTTGAAATCACAAGTAGGTATTTAGTTATTGTTCTGCATATCTGAAAACCAGTTATTCAATAATTTCAATTCCATCTTTTATTTTATTGCAGCTGCATAACAATCTTCAACTGCAGTTACAAAACGCGATAAGTTTGACAGTTTTGACAAACGTTTGACGTTTAGTTTTGTCGTCGTGCATGACATGTCAGTTGTTTTGCTTGCTCCAGTCGTAACAAGAAAGAAATTATTGTTCGCTGAAAAAGTGTTTCTTTCTAGAGTCCCGTTAAGATTTGTGATGTAAATACTTGAAGAAGCCACATCTTACCAACATGGGTCTCAGAACAGTGGACTTCGCCGCAATATTGTTAAATCTCGCCTACTGCGCTCACTCCGGTAAGTAGCCGACAATTATTTAATTGAATCAATCTATCCGGGATGTTACTTCGAGAACTTTATTCTTTTCAACAGAGCACATCCTGCCTTGCAACGTGAGTTCTCCGGAGCCGTGTCCTGGTGAAAATGAGGTCTGCGTGCAGCAGACTGGACAATGCGTTTGCAAGGCGGGCTTCGTGTTTGTTGACGACAACTGCGCGCCCGAGGGCACGGACACATCTAGCCACACGGCCACTATTGTCATCGTATCGCTGTTCACGCTCGCTCTCCTGGTATGTGGCATAGTCTTGGTGTTCAGGAAGTATGACTTACTCAATCATATTAGACAAAGAATCAACTTGCGTAGAAACAACGACGTTATGTACGAGGATGTCATGATTGGCCAAGACGACCCACCCCTTAGCCCTTGAATGAAGATACATCATCTATTTGCTTCTATAGAAATGTCCTCAGTATTTCTCGAACTACATAGAAAATAAATTATTACACATCTCCGGCTTCTGTCAGCATCATCATCAGTAGTCTTTGTTAACTCCAACCATATTTTAGTCTATGACATTATTAATTGATCAAACAAAACTGTGTACCTACTGCACAAAATAATTAGAAGTAAATGTTATGAAATTTTCATATTTGTGTAAAAACTATTTTATTACTGTAGTGTTAAGATTCAATTTTATTGTACCATGGAACAGATAAGATTATGATCTGTATTGTAGTACCGAACACAAAAATTGTCGCAATATCAATGTATGACCAGGTAATATTTCCATCAGTTTAATGTATTATAATAAAAATAATATGGTAGTTAGCATAATCTCTATAATTTTGTATGTATTTCAAAAATAGTTTAAACCCACAGTAGTTTCCTTTCAGCTTAGACCAATACAAATTAAGAAATCTTCACAATAGTAAAATCTGGTATGTAGGTATGTGCCTATAAGGAAAATCATTTTGGGTATCAGATTTCCTCAATCAAACAAGTTATAGACTTCTTTGTTACTTGTCTATAAAAATTATCATCACAGGGTTTTGTTCAGTTGTTATATTTATTTATGAAATGGTTCATTTTGTTCAAACTTATCCATTTGTTCTGACAGACAGTAGTGATTGTTTTACAGTGGTCAGCTGCATCTTGAACGCATAGATCTTTATCAGCTCTCATCTTGTAAACAGGTGTCTTCAGTTGACAAAGGTATGTTTTGACGTCACGAAGCATGCAATGACCTAGTTCCGTAGATGTTACAGGTAGGTATGAATCTTTTTGCAAGTTCATTGCAACGTAACTTTCAATAGGTAGTAGGGTGACCATATTTTTTCCAGTTTGATGTGGGACACTTTGAATGTTATACAACTCATAACTATCTCGGCTGGTAAGTGGGATTCTTATCTCCAATATCAAATATTGTTTTGTTACTTTTGCTTTCACTCGTAGCAATTGGTAAATGTTCTGTAAATCTGATTGTATGTTGTCAATGGGCAAAGTGAGTTCTTTCAATTGACTTGAAATAACACTTAGTTGATTTTGTAATTGTTGAGGATCAATGAGGTGAATGTTGATCTTTCCATTGTACACGTTAGTAACAGTATCTAATAACGTGTCTTGCATGTTTTTCAGTTGAGTCAGCATGTTGTTAGCCGCCATAGCAGATAAAGTGAATTCGGTCATGTATTCAACTTCGTTCACCTTTTTCTCTAATATGTTAGTAGTGACGTCTAATTTCAATAAATGTTGATTAATAATCTTATGTTGTTTTTGTATCATGTCCTCAGTTCTTTTCAACAAATTGTACTCCGCTTCTACTACAGACGTTTGGTTTCTCCATAGTAGTGCCAGGTGTTTCTCGTTATCTTTGATCGCCGTAATGTCTCGTTCATACTGTTCCGCGAATCGGTCATCCAATACTCCGAAGAGCTCGTTGGCTAGGTAACCGACACCGTTGATAAGGCCGCGGCGCTTTCGGGCGCGTGCGCTTAATTGTTGATTTAGCAGTACTCGATTGTTATGTTTCATTTCATTGTAAGTGTGATCCAATTGTAACATGAGAATATTGCAGTGGGTTGATTTATTTATAAGTTGACAGATAGTACTCAGATGATTATAGTATTGATTATACGCCGATGTTCCTTCCCAGTAGGGTTCCATGTTGTAATAAGCAATTATTTTCCATTCGTCTCTGATAAGTTGCAAGTTGCCGATTTTGTCAAAATACAGTCCTTGTTGTTCGTTCAATGACTGCACTTGCAGACATTGACCGGTCATAATCATGTTCAAAATAGTAATGCACATAAATGTCATAGTAATAATGTTTGTCTTCTTGTTATTGGAACCACATCCTCTCTTCACGTCTGTTTTATTTTCTGCTTCTGGTTTTGATTTTTCAGGTTGGTGTTTTAAAGGGAGTAGCGATAGTTTCACTACAGGCCTTTTAATTGTTCCATTTTTAGTTCTCACAGATACCACTCTCACGTAGTTGTCAGCGCCGGGATGAACTTCGACCACTCGTCCCATGGCCCATTTCCCCGCTGGCAGATTGTCTTCATGGATAATTACCATGTCTCCAACTTCTATGTTTTGTTGAGGTTCTTTCCACTTTCTTCTTGCTGTTAGTTGACTGAGATATTCTGTTTTCCACCTCTTCCAGATATCTTGGAAGAGTTTCTGTGTTAGGTTCCAACGTGTTCTCCCATCTTCTACTGTTTCGATCACAGTCAATCCAGATCTTCCTGTTAAAAAGTGTGCGGGTGTTAAAAAGTCCAAATCTTCAATGTTTTCTGTTAAAGCACATAGGGGCCTCGAG